CACACACACACACACACACACACACACACACACACACACACACACACTCTCTAAATTAAATATAATTTACAACTTTTTTTTTCAGCACTCGGGGCCGAGAAACTCTTTAGTGATATCTCAAGCTACTGCTTGGTACTAAAGGCAGATAATAACCATCAACAGTGCTTACTACACAGATCTGGAACCACCACTGTAGGCTTGATCCCATACAGCCTTACAGTGGCTGCTGAAAATTTGTGTAGCAAGTCCACAGTTAAACTGGAAGGGGAGGAAGAAAAGAAGAAATAGAAAAAGAGGAGGAGGAGAAGGGAGGAGGAGGGAGGAGGAGGGAGGAAGAGTGGATATGTGTGACATAAGGAATCATGAGGAAGGTCGCCTAAGAGGGTAAATGAAAATCGGTGTGTACAGCATTACACACCACAGTATCCTCCACAGCTCCTCCACCGGCATTGTCTGAGGGAAGGGAGGCATGTATGTGCACATGTCCCTGTGTGTGCATGTGTAAGTAGACAAGCACCTGTGGCTGCCAGAGGTCAACATCTGCCACCTCCCTCCATTGTTCTCTATATTTGAGACAGGATCTCTCGCTAACCCTGAAGCTCACTGATTCTGCAAGGCCAGCGGGCCAGCAAGCCTCCACTACACCAATGCTAAGATTGTAGGCACTTGTTAACTGCAGCTGGCTTTTGATGTGGGTGTTAGGGATCTCAGCCCAGGGGCTCATGATTGCACAGCTGACAGAGCCATCTCCAGCTCTCAAATTGTGTTCAGAAAGCTTATACATGCCAACATCAAACTAGGGCTGAGGGCTTTCTAGCTCCGGGGTAGAAGGCCTAGCATGTATGAGATCTGGGTTCAATACTCAACACCACTGTGGGGAGGGAGGGGGAGAGCCAGTCCCTCAGAACTAGGCTTATTCTGCATAAATTTATTCGCACAGAATCTATTAGTAAATTCTAGGATGGTCGGTTGGTTGGTTTGCTTACTGACTAATGGGAGATTATGCAAACCTTCCCACAAAGCAGATGGCAAGCCTCCATGGGCATGCCATCTTCCTGCACTTTCCGGGACTGAGGTAACAAGTGGACCCAGCTCTGCCAGCAGGTAAGATGCTCATTGGGAGGGAAACAATCATGGAGGCAGACATTGTAGTCACCGCTGAGGAGCCATGGTCTCAAACCTTAGAGCCGACCTAACACAAAAGCCTTCAAAGGATCAGTTCCTTTTCAAATATGCAATTTATTCTAAAACAAAATATATTTTCAATTACTTTTTCAAATTAGTAACATATTTAAAACTTCATAATTAATTTAACCCAATCCTATCCCTGCTTTCCCCTCCATTTCCTGGAAAAGATCAATAGAATGAATAGAGCATTAACCCTCCTCCAGGAAATCAGGCTTACCACAACAGCTTCTCACTTTTCCCTTGGTGATGCTCTCCAGTGATTGTATCATCTGCTTTCTTAAAATAGGTTTTTTTAAAATGTGAAAAAGGTGCTTACAACCATAAAAGGTTAACAATCTCCTGACAACCCACAAATAGCAGCTTACAGCTTCCTAGCTAAATTTAGCACAAACTCCCATCATGCAGGCTGAAAAGTTTAATCATGAGATTCTAGAATGATCTTCAGTTCCTAAGCTAGAAAAGGGCCTGTTTGTACTTAGTTGATTTAAAGGAGAAACTTTGCCATAGGTGACCACACCAAACACTACCATAGCTGAAAAAGTTGGAAGAAATGGGAGACTCCTTGAAGTACCTCAGAAAGATCCTTAAAGCCAACCCCCGCCTGCTCTAGATAACAGTGTACTCACTCGATGCTCTCTGAGCATAATACACCAGGTCTGTAACTGCCTTTTATAGCCCTTTTAGGTTTATTTTCATGCACTTCTTTTTTGACCAGTTTGAACAGAGTGGTGGTGCACACATGGGAAGCAGAGGATGAATGATTACATTCAGTTTGAGGCCAACCTGTTCCAGGACAGACAGGAATATAGAGTGAGAGCCATCTCAAAATATTAAAAAAAAAAAAAACAAAAAAGAGTCATCTAGCTGCAAGAGATCCATTTTCCTGACCCTTCTGTCAGTTCACACTGAGCAGAGGCTAAGAGGACACATCTGGGCAAACCAATCTGCTTCTGAATCTTCAAATTACTCTGTTGCCACCGTGTCTAATGCAGAAGAGAATGGGCTAGACCTCATAAACCAAACTCCAAAGTCATCAGAGCATGACTCATCTTTTTTTTTTTTTAATAAATTGTTGTTGTTGATTTAAACAGAGAGAAAAAATATGGAGTTCAGTAGGTAGGGATGTGAACAGGACCTGGGAGGAGTGGGAGATCAAAGTATACTGTATGAAAAAAATTAAAAAAAAAAAAAGAAATGGTATAATACATAGCCTTCTTTCCACTGTCAACAGCACAGAGGAGGTTATTGTATCAGTAGTCAGCAGATTGCCTTGTTCAGCTATACACACAGACAGACAGAAAAGTCTTAACCGTCCCACTGGTTCTTACCATGTCCTGTGCATGTGTCTCTGAATCTAAAAGGAAGGTCTAAAGTTGAGAGACCAACAAAGGTGTTAAGTCAAGAAGGAAATATAGATGAGCCAATGCTGTTTAATAAACATTTTTACATCTGAAGTCTGAGAGAATAGTAAAAAATTAAACTATATACCCTTCACTAGTACATATCAGAGAAGAAAGAGGAGAACGGCGAGAAACAACCCTGAAATCTCCCACAGGCCACTGTGATGATGAAGAGAATGGTACGAGAAAGGGCTGTCAAAGCAACAACACGGCACAGCAAAGGGTCGGGAGAAATCGTAACTAACTGCCGAGCTGTTCCCCTCTACTCAAATGGCCAGCTTTCAGGGACGGGGCTGACGGGAAAGCTGACTGCCGTGTAAGGCACAGGGCAACGGGGGTGGGGGTGGGGAGCAGAAAGACCCAACCGCTACAAACTAGAAAACAGCAAATTATGCCTTTCATTTCAAAATGAGTAAATATTCATAATTTTACACAAATGGATGTGAGTTACTTGGGGAAGCTTGGATGTAGAAACAGTTCATGTCCATCTCTGCAGCAACAGCTCATTTTTTAGTACATCGTAATGAATGCAGCTGGACATTAAAATATAAACTATGTTCAATAAACATGAGCAATGTGCAGTGTCTCCTTCACTGCGAGAATCCAAGTTTCTTCTTTTTTGGAAATTGTCAAGAACCTCAGGAAAACAAACTTTCTACCACAATGTCTACAAGTTTTTATAGTTATATTTCAGACATTTTCCGATTGCTTTGGAGTCAAGAAATGGCAGCCTTCCGGCGCTGCTGAAGGAAGAACGAATGGGAAAACACGTGTGCAGATGTGTGCAGAGTGTGGGGCACCAAAGGCCAGAGCTGCAGTGCTCCTGTGTGAGCAAATGGGGTGGACAGTCTATCATGTTCCTAAACTCCTTCCCCGGAGGCGCCCCAGCAGCCCCCACCCCTCCAACAACAAACAGAGGTGTGCTTTCTCCAGTGTTCACTTGGGGGGCAATCGCTGGGTTTATCTGGCTTTCTACTAGAGCAGGTGAGCGCTTACTCACAGGGATGTGTGTGTTCTGGTGTTCCCCAAAAGGCTGCACTGGAAAGCCTTTTCCCTTTGCCGTATGGAAAGCCGCCATCCTCTCGTCTTCCCAGGCCTATATACTCTAGCCCCTCCCAGAGACCAAGTACAATTAGGGCAGAACTGGATGGGGCTGGATACTCAGGTGAGGGTTTGCAACCCTCCCAGCCCCTCCATGGGAGGCTATAAACAGTCAAGCAGCCCAGCTCAAATGATCTTGCAAGCTGTCACAGCCGAATGTCTCAAGATGGCTGTAGCTTGT